TTAAAAGGTCAGAAATGCCTGACCTCATATCTGCTGAGCAAAGAAAAAAGCAAAATGAAATAAAATGACGACAGAAAACAGACAAGCAGTATCTCCTAAGAAGAAGATCCCTGCTGGATAAGACCAGACGAGCATCTAGTTCAGCATCTTGTTTTACACAGTTTCCAGCCAGTTGCCCTTGAAGGCCTACAGCAAAGGCACAAAGTTCACTCTTCTTCACACAGTAGTTAATCTTATAAACCTCTATCATGCACCCCACTCAATTTCTCTTTAAACTGAAAAGCTCGAAATGCTTTAGCCTTTCTTGGGCTGAGTTCAGACTGGCAGTTTGCCCCAATACAGGCGCGTGTGAGGAACGTTTCACAAGCGGATTAAAGGGGCCGTTCACACAGGCACATCTGTCCGGTGTCCCCCACCCGTACTTGACCCGTCTTGTAGCGCTTGCCTCCCGGGTTTAAAAGATACCTGGTGAAAGTGGTAGCAAACCCTGGAGAGCCCGTTTATCCCGCTTCATTCCGCTTCCCGAAAGTGTGAACGCTAACCGCTAAAAGCCGGGAACAGCCTGCGTTATTAATGTGTGCCGGCTGTTTACGCTGACTGACCTCCTAGCCTCACTCTGGCACCAGGAAGGTGCAGGTGATTGCCTTGAAGAGGGGGTAGTGATGTCGCTGGATGTGCCTATGGCCCACAGAGGTCGGATCCTGCCCTATTTGCCGCTGCGCCTAGGCTGCCGCAAGGAAAACGTCGCTTATAGCCATGCCTCCAGGCCAACAGTGTGAACGCTCCCTCGTGCCTCCTCCCGGTATGGTCCCGCATCAGTCCGCACAGTGTGGCCGGGAAAACCCGGAACAGTTTGTTCTGGCTCTTTTTTGCCACGACTCCCTCCCGCTTCAAACTGCCAGTCTGAACTCAGCCTTGGAAGGGAATATGTGGAAACCCCAAAAATCGGGGGATCCCCCCGCCCCTACCTGGGAACTGGCATCCCTACCTGACACAGTTTCTCACACTTACCACATTCACCTTACAAACCAATCCATTGCTTGGTGCAGCTCCAAGTGCTGCAAAGGGGGCAGGGGGCCTTCTGCCTTCTCTCTTCTACCGTTTCACCTAGGGACCAGCTGGAGGGGGCTGTTTGCCCCTTTTCTGGGTTTCACGTGCCCTCATTCACACGACCCCAGGACTCATGGAGCCTGAGAAAAGGGCTAAGCGGGTTTTGAAGAAAAAGCACCAGTCAGGCGAGGTATTAGCCATCCCCCTTTTGCTACACTTTAGATTATGTCCCAACCCTACAATTTTTTAGAGTTTCGGCAGCAGGTCTGTTTCTACAAACAGTCGGTCTTCCTGCATATATTTATACTTTTAGAATTCTTTCAAAATGACCTATTTTAGGACAATAGTCATAGAAAACAAAGTACAGCAGCAAAAACATTTCACAAAGGCATAATATAAAATTCTAACAACCAGAAATTTAAAATGATAAAAAAATCCTTGTAAATAGCTCTACATTCCAAGTCGTACCACCCATTTGTAGAACAGGAGTGAGTATTCAGGGGTCTATCATTGATAAGCAATGGCTTATAATTTGTACAATCTCTTCATAGTGTTGAATAATATTCGGTTCTGATCCTAATAGAACTTGTCTCCTGTCCTTCATATCAGCACTCTCCATAGCAACCTGTACTGTTTGTAAATAGCTCTAGGAGGGATTATATCATTTTCTGCAAGGTGTTGCAAAATTGGGTACCAGATTGAGGGAAATTTAGTACAATAGTTATCATTAGTAAGTTGTGTCATTCTGTCTGCTAACTTGGCCATAACAAAACAGTATCGAGTGTAATTTGAGTTCAGGATTTAATCACATAACTTCTTCTGGATAACCACATGAACAGAACTATTTCCTGTGCGATTCAGTCATACCCAATGCAGAAATATAGCCTGCATTAACCACAAGAGATACAGGTAACCCAAAAACAAAGAGTGGACCATCAGACTGTCTTCAAAGGGCCTGGGAGCCAAAGCTGAGATACCAGTTCAGTACTGGAAATATAATATGTCTGCAATGACTGGCAATTTCAGGTAAAATAAGTATAGACTCAAACCCAAGCCCCAGTATATCACTTAAAAAGTATGTTTCACGTGCTTGGAAAGAATCAGCATGCTTTAATAGTGAACAATCCACGCACTCTAGTTCCATGGTACTCAATGTATCAAAGCAGAACAAAAAGGCTGTTCTCAACACTTTTTATGAAAATGAAGCTTGCAGATTTTCATTGCCATATCTGGAGTGTTCTTTGCTGAATATTAAGATATTTTTGGTTTTAAAAAAGGTCAAATTGAAACAGAATAATACTGGAGCTCCATAGAAGTATTTCAGTGTTGATAAAAAGGAACTTCTGAAATGCACTGATTTTTAGATATCTTGTTGTCAGATAGCCCTGTCATAGATCTGGAATGTGGAGGGGTACCCTCCTTCTCGTTCCCAGCTCTTTCCTGCTCAGCTACTATGCACTATCTCATGCTTGACCTTGTAGAAGTTACAGCTGCAGTTTACACGGCTGGGAAAGTTAACGACATTTTTGCTTTGCCCGCTTGCTTTCCCCGCGCGTGAGTTATATCCATTGGGAATGTTTGATTTCACTATAAGTCAGAGGCCCTAGTACTGACGGCCATTCCTGACACAAGCTGTACACGTGTTCTTTAGTACTGGATCCACTAATAAACAGTTATCTTCTTATGAAGCCCTGTGTGGTGTGACCTGACTAAGAAGCCTGACACTTGGCAATATGAAACCTGTGGTGTGACCGGACTAAGGAGCCTGACACTTGTACTTTAGTAGAAATAAATTAATATTTTGTACATGTTATGATCTTGGCAATATGAAATCACAAGCATTCCAATCTTAGTGACATTTGTTTGTTTTTAATATCAAGTGCCCCCGTAACCATGTTTCTTCAGTTCTTAAGGCCCAGCTAGGGAGGGAAACAGTAAAACAAATTACTGCAAGAATAATCAATGGATGCAAGAAGGGTAAAACATGGTAAGTTGCAGAGCTCCCCCCCGGCCTCCTGGTCCAAAACAGTCCAGTGGCACCTTTAAGACCAAGTTTTATTCAGGTACAAGCTCTCCCTCCTCTACGAGGACAGATCTGCACGTGCCCCCTCCCCCAATAGCTAGCAAACCAAAGCAGTCCAGTGGAGGCTGAGTGGTGGGTGTTGCCTTCTGACACACTTCTGGTGATGTCAGGGTGTGTGGCATATGCAAAGAAGTTATGCTAATGAGCTATGCTAATGAGCTCCTGCACCTTTTTTTCTACGAAATGACCCCTGCTACCAGGCAACCCCTGCCTCCAAGCTGCTATTTACTCTGTGGATGAAAACACGCAATATGTGTGTTTATTTAGTGCATTTTATCTTTTGCATCCTCCAAGGAGCTCAGGGTTAAGTACATGATTCTCCTGCCTGCATTTTATCCTCAGCAACCCAATTTTATCTTCAGCAATGCAAGGAATTAGGTTAGGCTCAGAGAGAATGCCTATTCCAATGTCACTCGCTAAGTTTCACAGCAGATGGGCTTTGAACCCACATCTCCCCAGTCCTGGGTACCTATGTCTAGTGCAGAAGTGCTATTTTGGAAGTGGAGCAGGGAGATTTCAGTGGGAAGATAGCAAGATTCATCACAAGGTTTGTCTGCTTTGGATATATGCTCAATTAAATTACCTAACCCACCCCAAACACTGAATTTAAAGTGCACTTATTCTTGTTAGTTTTATACCTTAAAATAGCCAGAGATTAGGGTTGCCAAATCGACTTACCTCTGCCGGCGGGGGACTTTGTGCTGGCTCCCGGTGCGCGCGTACGTGCCACATGTACATCACAGGGAAGTACTCTATGTTTCCCCCTCAAATGGCTGTGCCCCACCCCCAGCGTGCCCGGCATCATGACGTCACTTCCCTGTGATGTGCACGCGGGGGTGGGGTTTTCCCCGGGGCCCGATTCTGCGGGGGCGGAAATTGGGCCTCCAAAGCAGGGGGAAATCCGCCCCCAAGGGGGATTTGGCAGCCCTACCAGATATGCATATACTTACATGGAATAGAAAAATCTTATTTTTACTTTTTAAATCCATGGGAATATTCATTCAGTTAAACCATGTACAGATTGTATTTATACTAGGGATCAAATAGGTGGAATGATCTCTAGGCCTTTTATCAGAAACTTACTGGAGTCTGCTTGTTTTTGTAGTTTTGCTTTTTGGAGTACACTTGTGTGCTAGACTATAAACTGATGTCACCTGCTGGCCATTTGTCATTCAGGCCATTTATCATCCTTGCTTAAGTAGCTGAACTGTCACAGACATTACAGAGAGGATGATGGAGAGGGCAACAGGAGCTATGGGCTGAGAAAATGTGGACACTCTGAGACCGATTTCACACAAGAGCTGCGCCACGGTCACGCCTCCCTTTGCCCTGCTTCTATTGGTCAATTTCCCACTCGAAGCTACGCGGCTGCGTTTTGACCTGCGGCTTTGCCCCATTTCCCCCACGGTTTCGTGATCCTCAAAAAACAGGATCACAAAACTGCGGGGAAAAATCAGGCAAAGCCGTGGGTCAAAACACGGCCGCGTGGCTTCGAGTGGGAAACTGACCAATAGAAGCAGGGCAAAGGGAGGTGCGACCGCGGCACAGCTCTTGTGTGAAATCGGTTTGAGGGTCAAAGACTGGCTGAGCTGCTGTGATGTCACAGAACATCCACAAAGGAACGGCCCTTATTCAGAATACCACAAATCATAAAGTTCCCTATTTCGAAGTGCTCAACTGCCATTAGCATGCAATGGGACTACATTACAGCATAATCATGTTCTTTATTTAATTATGTTCTCACAACATTAAAACTGGTACCATTGTGTTCTGATTTGAAGTGATCTCCACTGCTGCCATAAACTTGTTCAGCCCGTGAGGTGATCGTGGCATGTGATGTTTATTTTTTTCCCCCTTTTAAATTCAGGTACTTGTTGCCCCGATAACAGAACAAGGGCAAAGTCAAAGAGACATCTTTCTGCCCAGGGAAGGTCAGAAGTGGATGGACACAAACACTGGCCAGGTGTTTGATGGAGGCACCTTCATCAAGAACTATTCTGTCACACTTGTGGACGTCCCTGTTTTTGTTAGGACTTCTTAGATAATCAGGCTGTCCCAGATCTCAGAAGGTTTACCTACCACTCAGAAAAATATTGCTGACGTGAGTTTCCTTGCTGACACGACGATCTCTCTTTCTTTTAAAAGACATTTCAGCTAGGTGTACTGTTTCAGGATTATATATTAAAGCAAATATTAAAACGTAAAATCAAGAACTATTCTGTCACACTTGTGGAGGTCCCGGTTTTTGTTAGGACTTCTTAGATGTCCGGCTGCCCCAGATCTCAGAAGGTTTACCTGCCACTCAGAAAAATATTGCTGACGTGAGCTTCCTTGCTGACACGACGATCTCTCTTTCTTTTAAAAGACATTTCAGCTAGGTGTACTGTTTCAGGATTATATATTAAAGCAAATATTAAAACGTAAATGTTTATTGCCATTGCTATTTTTCAAAAACGGTAAACTCCTGCAAGAGCCTTGGTCTGGATTACATTTTACCAGCACTTTGGGACAAGGGCAGCCCCATGTAGAGAGTATTACAGTAATCCAATCTCTAAGTGACCATTGCATGGATTACTGTTGCCAGGTCATTGCGTCTGAGGAAGGGAACCAGCTGCCTAATCAGCCGAAGATGGTAAAAGGCCATCTTGGCAGTGTCAGCTACTTGGGCCTCCATCGTTAAGGAGCCATCCAAGAGCACTCCCAAGCTCCAAACCAGTGGCACCCCATCGAAGGTTGGGAGTGGGATGATGATGATGATGATGATGATGATGATGATGATGATGATGATGATAATCTTTCAATTTATTAATTGCTCAATCCTGCAGAGCTGCTGGCTCTGAGCGATTTACAGTTACACATTTCAAAAGGGTCTAACAATGATTCATAGGGGTAAGGGAGGACAACACATATAAATCCTTTAAATTGCACAAGTTTGCAGCCGACTGGGATTTTGTTTCAGCTGTAGACTAGACATGTTCCAGACGGCATATTTCCTCGGCTTGGCTTGATGACGTCTCCTTTCTCCAAGACTCCAGGACTGCTTCGAGTCACAACGCCACACTGCCACTGCCTGGCCGGAAGGGCCCCTTACAGGCTTCTTGATGCCGAAAGAGATCTTTCTAGGCTTCCGATCTTATGAGCTGGACATTCCATTCGCCGGCTAACACCTCCCCCGCCGGGGGGTTTAGTGTGCCCACCCTCTCTAAGGAGTGGTACCCATCTTATCTACTCGCCGAAGCTTTCGAACTACTGGGTGGACGGCGAGCTGGGGACAAGGCTGGTAGCTCACACCAGCACGGGGCTAGAACTGACAGCCATTCTGTTCAGCTCAGATGTTACTTTATAGCCAGAGGATAAATCCCCTGTGCCACCGCTCCCCTCAACCGAGGATCCCTAACCCTGGACTGCCACGACTCAGACACAGGACCTCTGTCTTCATCAGATTCAATTTCAGTTGGCTCAGTCTAAATTACCCAGCTACGGCTTGTAACGCCAGGTCCACATCTTCTGGTCCTGAGTCAGACCAGCCACCCAACAACAGATAGAGCTGGGTGTCATCTGCGTACTGGTGACATCCCAGCCCATGCCTCCAGGCAATCTGGGCAAGAGGGTACATATAGATGTTGAATAACATTGGGGAGAGAACAGCCCCTTGTTGCACTCCGCAAACCAGTGGGTGCCTCCGGGACATCTGCTCCCCTAGCACCACCCTCTGCCCCCAACCTTGTAGGAAAGCGGAGAGCCACTGCAAGGCAGATCCCTGAATCCCGGCATCAGTGAGGCGGTGGATCAGTGTCAGCTAGCTGCCATATCTGTGTTGTTTACCCTTCCCTGTTCCCGCTTGCTTGCAGCTCAGCAGCTTGCCGTAAACATGCCAGGGAGGCCATGGGAACTAGACGTCGTTATCAGTCTGGCCTTGTGAAGTAGGGAGGGCTTGGGGTCCACATTTGGTGTGAAATTTCCTGCTCTCAGGAAACCCTGCGACTCTCCCACTCTTTATGTAATCTCCCGCCGGGAGTCTTCCCGCCCGCGCACTCGAAGTTCATTTGCTTAGCTAATGGCCTTGCCCAGCTATATGTATTGGGATGTTCCCACCTTCTAGTTATTCCTAACAATAATCCTGTGGACAGGGTACCAGTCTTGTACACTAATAAAGCAAAACGCTTCTTAGGAAACGTGTGTGAAGAGTGACTTGCTGTGGAACCTGACATAAATTGTTAGGAATCACATACCAGCTCGTTGCTGCACCTCGCAGGCGGGAAGCGATGAAATCAACTTGCGTTGCCTCGTTGGGGAACAAGTGAGCCCAGCGTTCAACAAACTTCATCACCTGCACGATAAAGAATGACAGGTTCTCCGGGTCGCCATCATCAAACATTACGTCCAACAAGTCTTTAGGTCGTGGCATCGCCAGGGGAGGAGGGGGGGAGCTGGAACCACTGGTAGCGCCGGGGGTTGCAACTGGCCCGGCAGCAGCGACGGAGGGGGGGCGGCGGTGCAGGCAGTTGCGGGACCGGCAGGCCAGGACTGATGGTTGACAGTGTCAAATGCTGCCGACAGGTCTAACGACAACAGTACTGCCAACCGCCCCAATCCAGATGCCCTTGGAGGTCATCTGTGAAGGCAACCAATGCTGCCTCCGTTCTATGGCCTGGGCAAAAGCCAGACTGGAATGGATCTAATATATCAATGACATCCAGAAAACTCTGCATAAATACTATAAATGGGTGTCACACAGCAACTATTATGCCTCGCTTTTACAAATACCCTGTTGCGTTGTTCTTCACACCAGAGGTGGGCAGGGCATGTGAGCTAGCTGGATGTCACACATGGGCCTCTGAGTTGTCGACATTTATCAAGGGCAGTTTGCCTAACTGCTTGCAGCAACGTGCATACTCTCTCTCTGCTGATGCCTGCGTGTTGCATACAGAATAGGGGCTTTGTGACTGAGAACCAGGGGACTGACAAGTGAATAGCAAGGAGAGGGAAAGGATAGAGAGGGAGGAAACTGACTAGCCAATTTCCTTCAGTTCCGCTCTATTCTGCTTAGTTCCGCTCTATTCTGCTATGGTCAGGCCTCCCCTGGAGTCCTGTGTCCAGTTTTGGGCACCACATTTTAGGAAGGATGTTGACAAGCTCAAGCGTGTCCAGAAGAGGGCAACCAGGATGGTGAGAGGGTTGGAATCAAGTCTTATGAGGAAAGGCTGAAAGAGTTGGTTATGTTTATCCTGGGAAAGAGAAGGCTTAGAGGGGACATGATTGCAGTCTTCAAGTATTGGAAGGGCTGTCATGTAGAAGATGGAGCGGATCTATTCTCTCTTGCTCCGGATTGCAAGACTAGATCTAATGGGTGGAAATTACAAGGGAGTCAATACCAGCTAAATATCAGGAGAAACTTCCTAACTGTAAGAGTGGTTGAGCAGTGGAACAGTCTGCCTCCGGAGGTGGTGGAGGCTCCTTCGCTGGACGTTTTCAAGCGAAGGCTGGACGACCATCGTTCGGGTATGTTGTAAGTATGTTGGGCTATCTTTCAGCTATGCTCCTGCAGAGTGCAGGGGGTTGGACTAGATGACCTGCAAGGTCCCTTCCAACTCTAACATTCTGTGATTCTATGATTTATTTACTTATTCATTCAAAAGATTTTTATTGTGCCTTTCCAATAAAATGTCCAAAGCAGTCTATGACCCTCTCCATCCAAGGCTAACTTGTGGTGGTGGTGGTGGTGGGGAATGACATCAGTCCTTCTTGCATTACTAATTCAAACTGCAGGTAAAGGAATCACATTCTTAGATACATTTCCATGTTTTAAAAAATCTTGCATACCGAAAGCAATTATGCGGAGTAGAAATAGGTCATTCTCCTTTGCATGGTAATTTTTTTTTAATTTCCACAGATTTTTTATTAGACAAAGGAATCCTCAAAAGTTTATTATTTAATTTCTTTGCAAAAATTTATATCCCACCTTTCTGCCTTTACCAGGGCCACCAAAGTGGGTAACAATTTAAAACATACCTGATAAGGGACATGATAAAACCATTAAAATGAGCCCCCTCCAAAACATGCATCATTAAAACAATTTCAAAAGAGTTAAAAAACAGTTAATAGACACACAAAATACATATAGAACGTTGTTTAGGAAAGGGGGATCATTGACGGAATCCCAAATGCTTAAAAAAGTCTTCAGTCACTGGTGGAAGATGGCAACAGGAAGGGACAGATGAATCACCCCAGGGAAACAGTCCCAGAGTTTTGGTGCCATGACGAAGAAGGCCATCTCCTGGTTTGCCACCCACCTAATCTCAGAAGCTTGAGGCACCCAAAGCAGGCCTAGGGCTGCCAAGTGGGGGCGGGGGGCAGGTAAACCCCCACTTTGGAGGCCCAATTTCCGCAGCCGCGGAATCGGGCCCCAGGGGGAACTCCGCCCCCCGAAGCGCAGCGTGGCCACTTCACGCGCGCTTTGTGTGCACATCAGAGGAGAGCTCCCGGAGCCCGGCGACACTCCCCCGCCGGTAAGAAGATTCGACTTGGCAACTCTAAGCAGACCCTCCAAAGAATCCTTAATTACCCACTGCTCACATGAAATGAAGCTTCATAACATTCCCAGTAGTTGCAAGTCTAGGCTTGATTCTACCTTCTATATTTTCTGCAAGTTAAAATTTGCCTTCAGTCACAGCATTGACCTTCTCTGGCTACCGCTCCTTCTTCTGGTGTGAATAACCCACAGCCCTGTCCAGAGACATGAGAGAAGGCAGGAATGGAGGGTGAATAAGTTATGCTGATCGCTGTTTGTCCTTCCTTTTCAGCCCATGTTTTCTCTGGCTTCCAGTGCAAGGATGGATTATACCCCCGCCACTTTGATTCTTAATGCAACAAACCTCCTAAGTGGTGTTACCCTAAGTGGTTGTGAGGGTTTCCTGAGTTTGCTGGGGAATTAGCCAGGAAACCTAATTAATGCGAGAGACGGTAATCAAGCAGGATCTTCACCAATGTTTACGGGGATTTTCCCCTCAGTAGAACTCTCAAATGAACCAGGCCGTGATT